TAACAAAAGAACCAGCTAAAGAGCTCGATAACCTCACAAATATATTTATATGGTGGTATTAGGACGTTGAACCCCAAATATCAATCAATCAATCAATCACCAATATATTTCATAATTACGAAACATGGTCGTAACACGCCTCTGGTGAACCATTGTTGGCAAGTGTGCTCGAATTCAGACATTGATGGGGCATCATATGGAAAATAATTTTTTTGCATATTAGTGAAGTAGTTTCACACATTCCCCAAAACACCGCTCCTACCACGAGATAACGCTTGCCAAGTGAGAAAACGCGCGGAAAGACAATGTGGGTGGAAAGCCACCCTGAAGTTCCCGCACCAGAAAGACATAATGTCACAAATTTTGAAAGCGTCTGCTGGGTCCTAATTATCTTCTAATAGTTAAAAATGAAGTGCGTGGTCACCAGTGGATGCGATAGTCTTGTGGAGCCAATGTCATGAAAATACGTAATAAAATACATTTTTAAATTTTCCCACCACGTGAGGAGATTGTGTCGCGAAACCCAAATATAACTCTTCAACTTCAATTTGCTTACTACAGAGCTTATGGTGTTGAAACGTATGGCATTAGAGTCCTCAGAGTGTAGCGTATCCATTCAAACCAAGTAATTGCTTCTTTTTAGTGTCTTTTGGGAGATGGTCAGGAAATTAATTACCAGTAAATATGTACGACAAATTATATTATGTATACTTTTAACAACAAATATTAGTACTATCCGGAAATGAGAGCACTGCAGTACATGACTAAGCTATGTACATTTAATTACTATCAATATGAGAAATGTTTCCGTAAATATGTGAGATCTTCCTCCATGTTTAGGTATATTTGTTTGAGATTCGAGATGGTGGTTCGAAGGGATCGCCTCAAGTGACAAACTGCTCTCTGTTTGGCACAAAATAATTAAATCTAACAGACGAACGTGATACTTTTGCGTTTAATGCACCTATACGCTCTGTGCAAATGCCCACAATACTGCTCGAAGAGAAAGTCACTCTGCAATGCACAAGACGAACTGAAGAACAAGACTCTTTCGCTAGAAAGAATCCTGTGCTACCGACAGGACTTTATGTCGGAGAAGATTGCTACGAAGGCACTCCTGCACTTCTTGCGTTCAACCAGCCTCTCCAAACAAGTGGCATCAGAACGCCCTGCATGTGTGGGCATGTGTATTGTTTTCCTAGTTTATTTTATATATCTCGATCTCTATCCTCTTTCCGACCCTCATTTCCCACCCCTGTACAGGGTAGCAAACCAGTTCTAGGTGAACCTCCCTGTCTCTTCCTTTCATTTATTTCTCCCTTTCTACACCCGACAAAGTGAACGGCAGGATAGCCGGCGTAGAAGCTCAGTTAGGAGAGCATCGGACGCGTTATTTAAAGGTCGCAGGTCCCATGGCAAGCTATCTTTTCGTTCACTTTTCCCTCTTCATATTTACATTACAGTTGCTTCTAATAACATCCCCTATACTTCCTGTGGCATGATTGTGTGTAAAAGTTCATGAATATTGTGTTTAACAAAGAAAATGAGCCCTTTCTTGTACACTTCTAATCTCCTATCTGCAAATGTTACATTCAATGTAGGCATCAAATCGAAACCGGTACACCTCGTCTGTTCCTGAAACACCTTATACCGACTGTTTTCTAGATAACTCTCTCTTTAAAACGATATATGGTAAAAAATATTCTGTCCCGAAGGGGAAATTCAGATTCAGTCACTCGGCTTCAACGCTCTCATGAAAAGAACATGTTTCGTTAAAACCATTCAAGGTTTGTCCCGCAAAAACCTTTGCTGGAGGTATTGCCATCAGGAAAGACTAAGTCCAAGTTTTCCTGAAGGCAAAGGTTTTTGCGAACAACAAACTTGTACCTATAAATGTAATAATTAAGCATAGTTTTTCCGTTGCCTTCAATAATAGATATAGCGTGTTTATTTCATTATGACCTACATTGAAGGTCACACTGGCCTGAAAATAGTAGAGTAATGTAACCTTCCTTTGTTTTACGTTGAAAAATCTCAAAACAGCTTGACAGACAGGTGTACTGCACAAAAGAATCTTAGTGCTGCATATTGCGTCCCAAACAGCTATGAAGTGCTCTAAACAATGCATTCGCCACATCTTTTCGTCAGCGTAACCAGAAAAAGTACTTCTCAGGAATGCGTTTCAACAGCACGTCTAATACGTTTTCCTTTTCTGTCATTTTACTCCACTGATAATAATGGCCAATCTATAACCAAGATTATCATAAGGGGTGTGCTAAGAGCATTGTACTTGTTAAGATAACAAAATGTTTTGGAAAACGAGGCAATAAACATCGAATCTGAATGCTGCAGCTGCAGAAGTGCTATCACGTGCTTCTGAGTTGGTATTAGAAAGAAAACTTCTGCTTATATGGTGTTGAATACTCACTGCTGGTCATTTGAACCAAAATGCGATGCTTATACTGGTTTTAATACTATTGTTATTACTGATAATGTTATTATCATATCATTCATCCTAATAAAGGCGAATGCATAGTTTGATCTCATATGAAAAAAAACCAAAACATACCTATAAGAACAAAAAGGCTGCCATTACAACATACGTTTCAACCCATGTGGTATTTATTAATTTACTCCACTGGACGTTTGTGGTTGTCATCCAGTGAAAAGGTCCATATACCTAATCTTTTAATATTGTCAACTCGGATGATTTTACGCAGGATTTCGGTAATAAAGGAGTAACAAATATTATAAGGCTTTTCGGGCTGTATTCAACACCGGAAAATGTTGCCTCTCATTTGTTCAACTAAACATTCAGAAATGACGTCGAACCACAATGCAAGGTTTCTCATTGAAGTTAGGAGAAGACAGAGAAGGGTGCTCACTAGTTATGCCAAATCCTGGCATTAATAACTTAGTGGTCATCTCAAAATTGAAGTTTCAGCTAGATGGTACTGGTGCATGACCGAGAAAACTTCTTCGCTCAATTTGATCGAAGAAGTGGCTTCCGTCCTGTTGTTCTGTGTTATGGGTTCCCTTTTGAAGTACGCGGAAAAGTTTCCTCATTGATTAAGGCATTCGAAGCTTTGGAAAAAAAGCCTCTGGGCATATACTGAACTTGTCCCGGCGCGTTGGTCTAGTGGCTAAAGTACACGGCTGCAGACCCGCACGTCGCAGGAGTGAATCCCAACTGCAGTGGCTGCATTTTAAATGGAGGCGGAAATGTTGTAGGCCCGTGTGCTACGATTTGAATGAACGTTAAAGAACCCCAGGTGATCGAAATTTCCGTAGCCCTCCACTACGGCGTCTGTCATAATTACATGGTGGTTTTGGGACGTTAAACCACATATATCAATCAATCAATCAATCAATCAATCAATCAATCAATCAATCAATCAATCAATCAATCAATCAATCAATCAATCAGTTATTCAATCAATCAATCCCTCAATCAATCAAATAATATACGAAACTTGCTCACGGCTTCAGCTTTCTTTCAAATCATTTTAGTGGAAGCGGAGCATCGAGCCTTTCCGAATAATTCTTGGCTCGTTTGCTACCGTTAGTATGCTTTCGAGAATACTTCCACTAATATAAGCCTAGAAGGCGCATTCCTGCTACAATGTACGTAGATACGTTTGGCACTTTGTCAAGCCGCGGTGCCTTTTGTGAAAGTGAACGAAACGAACACCACGATACCTCGACAACTTTGTTCATATATTATTGATTTCATGCATGTTTCATGGCCGTTCTGTATTTAGAATAGTACCCGCTAAATCTCGACGCTTCAGGGGTTAGAGGAAAAATGTATTGTATATGAAATGGCCAGCCCATATTTTACATTCAGCTAACTTACACTACAACGATCTTCAATCTATTGATTGATTGATAAGTGGGGTTTAACATCCCAAAATTACCACATGATTGTGAGAGATTCCATAGTGGAGGGCTCCCGAAATTTCGACCACCTGGGGTTCTTTAACGTGCCCCAAATTTGAGCACATGGTTCTAAAGTGTTTTTGCCTCCATCGAGAATGCAGCCACCGTAGCTATGTTCAACCTAAAGAATGGTTTGAAGGCAGTTAGTTTTTCCTCAAAGTAATGTTAGTTGTTCAAAAGAACTACCCTACTTGAAGAGATAGTTATAAGTTTGCATCACTCAATACGATACAAGCGATCATTACCAAATTCTATCTAGCATCTTACTACTATCAATAACCTAGGTCGTTTGTTTCAATGCTACCATACAATGGAAACACTGTATCATTTTTTGAGAAGGTGACGCCATGTGAAACATAGGCTGTAAAATTCAATATATTGTGTCTATTTTCATGTATGTAATCCTTCAGAAAACTTCCACCACACCCCATTCCCGACAATTACACAGATCATACATACGAAATAATGATGTCACAGCCACATAAAACTTTACAAAAAATACGCGAGGTAAGGAGTTCAAATGTTGTCTATTGGGAACTGAAATTCTGGTCTACCATATCACTGTATCACAACTATCCAACTAAACCGCCAGCATATTATGTCCTGTTTAGTAAGCGCACCACATTCCCATTAGAATTACTAAACAGACGTTGTTGTAGATGACTAGGAAGGCTACAAGTTGCTACACGAGGCAGGAAGGAAACAAAGCCTTGACAACGTTCTTACACTCATCAATCAATTGTCCTTCAAGGGCAGGCACGTTCCACATTTTTTTTTCTGTCCTTTCAGTAAGGTGAAAGCTAGGTCACTCACCGTTATGGAAACATATGAAGAAATGTTCAAAGCCTCTGACGTATTGTGCACAACACTAATGAAGAAATGACAAAAAAGTTTTTCAAGACAAACAATGGAAATGGCGACATGTATTCAAGAAAGTTTAGTGACAAAGTATTTTTTTTCGTAGTATACATGTATTTCGTGAGAATTTTTTTTTAGCAAAGGGAGCAAGAGGTAGCAAAATTTGAGTATAAAAGGCCGTATCGTCTGCTGTGGATTCACGATCATCTCGCAACAAGTCCAGAAACATGGCTCGCCTCTTGGTAGTCTGTGTGCTGGCCGTCTCCGTGGCCTGTGCCACGTCTTACCAGTTCAAGATTAGCAATGGCCTGTATGATGGTGGCAGCTCCTTCGGTGAGTCTGATCTTTCAATCATATGTCGGGGATAGGATTTTCGTATAGCCAAGTGACCACACGTTGAATTGCCTTGAAGAGCTGCGTTCTGGTGAAACTGGAGAAGTCTCGCAAATAATTATCACACAAAGTTATAGTCTGCCTGCTGGAAGTGTGCTCAGAAGAGAAACATTACTCGAAGAAGTATTTGTCTTAGTCGAGAAGTACAATGGCGGTAGAGCTAGCTTTAAAATTGTGAGCTTCAAACCTTAGTAAACCAGAATGGTTAGCAGCTCACACCTAAAAACAATTAAATTGGAAGTTTCAAACACAGAAATTGAAAAGACGGAAATTGTTGTTTTATCTGAGCACACATTGATTCAAAGTAAATGGAAGAAAAATGAGGACATTTTGAATGCTCTTTTTTTGGGGGGGGGGGGCACCGATGAGGCCAAACGGGGTTGATGCTATAACACAGAATTTTTAGGTTCTATTACATACAACTGCAGACACCTGAAGACCAATTACCATTTGAAAGAGGCATGTACTTTCTAGGATAAGTTAAATTGTTGTGCCGGAAGCATGCATAAATTTCTAGTCAATTGTGTCGCGGAAGCAAAGCATTATATCACTCCACCAAAGCCATCGTTGGGAACAAACGTTTTACATACGCTGCCCCGTATATGTGCTGGTTATCAATGAGTCTCTATCAAACCTATTCATATTTCTGGGTGCGCGTCACTTGCCTAATAGCTTGCGAAGCTAATCCAGCCCGAATAATAAAAGTACAACGAAGCGCACACGAAGCACCAGTGGTGAACTGACGATTTTACGGGAGTGTCTGACAGGGGGTCTGCTGATGTTATCTTGAGTCAGTCAGTAAGTCTCACTGGCTGAGTGTAATTCGATAGTGCCAACTTTCTGTAAACTTTTTTGATATAAACTTGTGTGACATGCTAGAAAGATTTCTTTATCGAATGGCTATCGGTCACAGAATACCTGCCTGTGAATACGCTACTGATTTCGTTCGTCTCGCACATGGAGATCAAACACACATAAGTAAATTCTTATAATTTTTTTTCAGGGAGTAGGTGAACACTCACGCTGCCTATAGCTCATGATGACACCTTTTTCCATTGCACCGCGTGTTAATATTGACGCACGAAAGGCAATCCTGGTGGCATGTGCCACAGTTGACGCATTTTAGTTGGAGAATGCTTAGAGATACTAGATTGCTGTACTGATAATCACACTACCACAGAGACTTGTTTTGAGAGGAGTTTGTAAAAGAAGGCAAATTGGACTAACACAGGATTGTAGTGAAGATGGCAGAATATATTTAGAGGCGTTCTGTTCGGAAAAGTATCGATGTCAGTTAGGTCTTCTTTTGAAGTTGTTTCTAAGCACGAATACTGCCTAACCCCACCAATGCAAGCACGACTGCGATAATGATAACGCCACTAAAGCAGCGCCAAATAGCATGCGGGTCGTGTTAAGCAGTGTCGTAGTTCACCTTGTTTTTGAATTCGTTTGTTATTGCTACTGTCGTTCGCTATTTCCCCTGTAACTGAAATAAAATTTATTAGTGAATAGTGTATTCATGAAACTGCGAAGATATGTTGACCAATTTAAATACGCAATATTACCACGTCTCAGGTGCTTTATCGAAACCAGGAACACTACTTTGGTCAAACCAAGCCAAGAAATGAAGAAATGTACGACATGCACACACTCGTTTCAGTTAGAGCCGCATGCAAGTTTTTTTAATGAATTTACAAAGTCAACTGATGAGGTAAAGGGTACACCAGGCTGGTGCATTCTCTGCTGTAGCCGTAGTTAGACCGAGACACGACTTAAGTGCTCTCACTTCAATGATCCACAGGAGCAAAGTAATACTGACCGTTTATTTCAGATAAGAGCCTGCTGTGTGAAGTGTTCAAGGTTGTGTTATTAGCAGACATAAAATGTCGATCCATTGCTTTACACAATCCGAAATCAGATGCATGGTAGTGATGAGAAATGCGATGCATACTATCAGAACATGATGCATTACTTTTGGAGGTCTCGAGGTGCACTTTCATATGCCCCCTCACATGCCCCCCCCCCACTCGCACCATCGTGAAAGTAAGAGCAAACACTCTGGCGATCGTAATTTATTGACAGCAATGGTTTCGTGTAATTTAAGCACACTTTAGCGAAACGCAGTATCTATAAATAATGGTATCTACATATCGGCTGTCGACATCGATCTTTGGCAACAGAATGTTGAGCCAGTTTGTTTGAATGCATTTTCTTTGGCACATAGTTTCCTGTACGCGCCCAGGTGAAAGGAAAATTTTAAGATAAAAAGATGTTACGCAGCGCACTATCTTTCTCACTAAACTGCGTTTGCGTATCGCCTTGTTACGTGACATGAAATTATCCCTAATGTTCAATGGCTTACTTTCAGGTGGTAGCGGCTATGGCAGTGGAAGCTATGGTGGTTACGGCATGGGTCTTGGCAGTTACGGCAGCAGCGGCTACGGAGGGTACGGCAGCGGCGGCTATGGAGGCTTCGGCAGTGGACTCGGTAGCTACGGCAGTGGACTTGGCAGTCTTGGATTTGGAAGCGGCAGCTACGGCAGCAGTGACCTCAGTGGTCTCGGCTTCGGCAGTGGTAGCTACGGCAGCTATGGCAGCCTTGGCAGCCTTGGCAGTCTCGGCTATGGCAGCAGTGGGCTCAGCGGTCTAGGCTTCGGTAGCAGTGGCTATGGAATTGGCAGCTATGGCCGCTACGGCCGTGGACTTGGCAGTCTCATCTATGGAAGCAGTGGCCTCAGCGGTCTTGGTCTCGGCAGTGGCATCTATGGCAGTTATGACAACCTTGGCAGTCTCGGCTATGGTAGCAGTGGGCTCAGCGGTCTTGGCTTTGGTAGCAGTGGCTATGGAAGTGGTAGCTATCGCCGCTACGGCCGTGGACTTGGCAGTCTTAACTATGGAAGCAGCGGCCTCAGTGGTCTTGGCCTCGGAAGTGGCAGTTATGGCAGCCTCGGCTATGGCAGCAGCGGGCTCAGTGGTCTTGGCTTCGGTAGCAGCGGCTATGGAAGTGGTAGCTACGGCAGCTACGGTCGTGGTCTTGGCAGTCTCGGCTATGGAAGCAGTGGCCTCGGTAGTCTTAGCTTTGGCAGTGGTAGATACGGAAACCTTGGCAGCTTAGGCTATGGCAGCAGTGGGCTTGGTGGTCTTGGCAGTCTTGGCTACTTAAGCAGTGGTCTTCGCTATGGAGGCTATGGTAGCGGTCTCAGAGGCTACGGAAGCTATGGTAGCAGTCTTGGAAGCTACGGAGGTTACGGCAGCTATGGAAGTGGTCTCGGAAGCTACGGCAGTGGCCTTGGAGGATACGGAGGCTACGGAAGCTATGGACTTGGAGGCTACGGAGGCTATGGCAGCGGCCTCCTTGGTGGTCTTGGATTTGGCAGTGGCCTCTATGGCAGCAGAGGCTTTGGCGGCCTCGGCTACGGTGGTTACGGCAGCTACGGCAGTGGCTTCGGAAGCCTGCTTGGAGGGTTTGGAGGTCAAGGAAATCTGTGGGGAGTGAAATCCAGATGGTAAACAACGCACTGAAGGAGATGAGATGCTTTGAATGATGATCGCAATTACACAATAAAATAACTTTCATGGTTATTCTCAATGTGTATTTTTTCCATTCGATTCACAGTAAATGTCAATATATTAGCGCCTCTAGTGGCGTCTGTAGTGGTATTAAAGATGGTGCTTCATCATTTTCATATAATGCACAATTAAAAAAGAATATATATACAGATAGGTCATGCCCTGAAGTAGCATCAGCCTTGGCGGTCTTTATGCTCGAAATTCAAAAAATCACAATGTAATAGCTGTTACACAAATCTTGATCAATGGAAGCAGAATTGGTGGCTATTTTTGAAGCAATTAGGTTTGTGTGTGAGAATCTTGGGACATGAAAGGGGTGGTATGCACAAATAGCAAACCCGCTTTCCAGCAAGTCAAACATGCGAGATCACTTCACAAAAATGGTGAAATAACGCAATGTATTGCAGAAACTGTGGAATATGCTTTAGTACAGAATCTCGACATCGTATTCCAATGAATACTCAGTCACATTGCAATAAAGTGTAATGAAGAGGCCGACAGCCCCACCAAGAAAGCATTGAACGAAGGTTGGGATTGCGCAATTCCTATGTATGAGATGGATATTCTGCTTCACCAAGAAAGCATTGAATGCAGGATGGGATTGCGCAATACCTATGTATGGAATGGATATTCGACATTCTACAACGCAAGGAGCTAACCATTATTCTATAGAAAAGTGGTTTGATTGCCCTAAGTCAAAGGAACCAGTACTTTATGAAGTTGATCCACACAAAAGTTTTCAATAGCGACCTATCTCCCACGACGCTTAGAGACATTATTCGGCAGACTTCGACTGAAACTAGCATACACAAATAGTTTCTTGCACAATATACGTCGATCCATCTCCATGGCATGCCATTGTTGTTATGCAGAAGAAAATGTTCACCATAATCTTTTGAAGTGTGTAAACAACGCAAATGAAAAAGAAACATTAGGTAAGAAATTATCAAGTTTGGACAGACAGCCCCTCACATTGAAGAAATTACTCAGACCATGGCCTGAGATCCATCTTCAGAAAAAGGCAAACATCTTCCTGACATATTTCTTAGTGGAGACGGGGCTGGATAAGCACTTGTGATTTACAGCCCGAGGTTGAAATGTATAAAATGACGTGCTAGTGTATATACTGAGAGTATAATTAGAAATGTGTAGGTGTGAAGAAACTGTACATTGACAACCTATTTTAACTAGTTTAAAATTGATATTAAGGTTTTCTTGCTGATTGTTGATTGTCGGGCTCGATTCTGTATTTCTCTTTAATTTTTTTTCGATGCACAATCTAAAGTTATGGAATTGTCGAGACAATATAGATCTCAACCTCACCAAAGTAAAACAGTTAGAAGAGAACAGAACAGGAATGCATATTTAGTCTTGTGTACTGACTTGTATACGGCACACCAAAAACATACAAACTGTGAGACTTTTTTTTAATCGAGGCCCTTACAGACAAGTTCCGTTCACACACACACACACACACACACACACACACACACACACACACACACACACACACACACACACACATATATATATATATATATATATATATATATATATATATATATATATATATATATATATATATATAATATAACCGTTATCATCATCAGCCTCGCTACGCCCACTGCATGATAAAGGCCTCTCCCATGTTCTGCCAGTCAACTCGGTCCTGTGCTTGCCACTGCCAATTTATATCCGCAAACTTCTTAATCTCATCTGCCATCTAACCTTCTATCTCGCCCTAACCCGCTTGCCTTCTCTAGGAACCCATTTAGTTACTAATGACCAGCAGTTATCCTGTCTACAGGCTACATGTCCGGCCCATGTAAATTTACTCTTCATGATTTCAACTATGATATCCTTAACGCCGGTTTGTTCCCTAATGCACTCTGCTCTCTTCTTACTTCTTAAGGTTCCACCTACCATTTTCCTTTCCACTGCTCGCTGCGTCGTCCTCAGTTTAAGCTTAACTCTCTTTGTAAGTCTCCAGGTTTCTGCTTCGTAGCTAAGTACTGGCAAGAGCAGCTGTTATAAACCTTCTTCTTGAGGAATTGTGGCAATCTACCTGGCATGATTTGAGAGTGCTTGCCAGATGTGCTCCACCCCATTGTTATTGTTCTAGTTACGTCAGTCTCGTGGTTCAGCCCTGAGTATACATAGTCTTTTACAACTTCAAGAGCACTATTACCTATCTCGAAGCGCTGTTCTCTTCTGAGATTATTGTACAGTACTCTCGTTTTCTGCAGATTAATTTTAACAACTACTTTTGTGCTCTCCTTGTCTAACTCCGCAATCATGAGTTGCAATTCGTTGCCTGAGTTACTCAGCAATGCAATGTCATCGGCGAAGTGCAGGTTACTAAGGTACTCTCCATTAAGTCTTATGCCTAACTACTCCCTTTATAGGCCTCTGAAAACTGAAGTAAAATGTGGGATTGCGCTAGTTGGTAATCCCTTATTAAACTTCTCAGCGCAAAACAAGATGCTCAAAATTTCCGGAGGTGTCCATCATGGCGCCTCAGCGCCTCAAGAGTAATATCTTGCTTTTGGGATGTAAAACACCACTTAGTAATACTATTATACTTTTATTATATTATTTTAACTTTATGATAATAATAATAATAACATTATTATTATATTATAATAACGGTATTATTATTATTATGAATTAATATCAGGGTTGACTTGTTTCGGGCAGGTTCCTGCGAAAGAAAAAAAAAGTAGTATTACATGTCATACCCGCTCTTAGAGGACCAAAAAAACCTGCTTAGTGAAAACAGAGCACCGCCCCCCTTCTCCCCACTCGCAAAAAAAAACAATCACTTTTTGACATTTCGCACTCTGATAGGAAGCTCGTGCAACCATTCAGGAGTCATAGGTGTCATCTTCCAGTCCGTTCCAAATAATAGCCTCTTCAGAAATTTAAGGCAAGCACATTTCCCTGCGAGGCTTAGGAGGGCCTCATTAATCACCGTAGAAAGAGATGGAATAAGCATCTTTATTTCGTTATTCTTCAGGTGTCGCCTTAGGGGTGGTCTGCCCCTTCCAGGAAACCAAAGCTTTCGCAGCGTCGAAAGCCCTCTCCACAAGCTAACGCTGATCTTACCGTAGACTCCTAACGCATTGCATTTGAAAGAGAATGTGCTCGGGCATTTAGATTTCAAAACATTGCCGTTCGGCATCAGATAAGCTACCACAAAAGTTTCAAGGTGAAAAGAAACTGCACTTAACAAGTGCCATCGAGAAAAAATTGCCCGCAGCTTCCCTCGGGGGAACACTGAGGAGGATGCGGAAGTGGTTCCGCCAACAGTTTGGCCGGCGCTGGTCGAAGGGACGTCGATCATTCTGTTTGTGGATTCGTTGGCATTCATTTCACGGCGACTTCGGACGTCGACGCGCCGTACAAACCAACGGACGAGCGGCAACTGAGCGAGCGAGCGCCGACCTTGAGTATATATACAGCGCGACGGCGCATGCGCTGTCAGCTGTCAAATGTTCTCGAAGGAGAAGCGCGCGCGCGGCACAGATGGCGACGGCGCGACGGCGCATGCGCTGTCAGCTGTCGAATGTTCTCGAAGGAGAAGCGCGCGTGGCACAGATGGTGGGCGACGGCGCGACGGCGCATGCGCGCGCGTCAGCTGTCGAATGTTCGAGAAGCGGTGCGGACGGCGCGGACGGCGCACTACAAGGCGCGAGTATAAGATGCTGCCGCATCTAAAAAAAAGTCCTATGAAACAAGCCGAAATGTTCGCAGCTTTCAAGGCAGCTAAGACAAACTTCCGAAGGCATGTGCGAACTGCCGTAGGAACTGGCTGTCGTTTGAATGTGTGGCAATGTGAGCGTAGATAACTTTTAATGTGCTTAAAATTGAGAGCTTCTATGTCAGCATTTCATCGTATGTAGATGATGAACACCATTCCTAGAAGACCACATAGGAATATTTGGACGAACACAACCGATGGAGAGAAAGAATTTTTCATACGCTGCATGGGGAGATATGCGCACTCAGAACGGCTACTCACTTCCTTAAAGAAAGATAAAAACAGGTGAAGCACATTTTGTTCACAACAGTTTATACCTCTGATTCGTGACGTAGTTAGCCCGTTATAACGTATTAGCGATAATTTTTCAAACGCAGATCCTATACGCTTCTGAGGTGAGTGCTCCCTCTCCTTTTTCCTCGTAGTAAACAAACTAATGAGCACAGCAATAGAATTCGCCGATAACGCTTTTAATTTGCGATGGCGACGAGACGAAAAGTCTGCGTTGTGCAGCTTGAGTGGAAATCGATGACGTCATCTACAAGTCAGATTCACGCTGGTCAAGCAGAAGCACGCAGCATACAAAATGTATGAACTAAGTCAAAAAGTAAACAACTATTGTAAGAATAGATGAACAAGCTTGTCACGGCAGCATTCTGCTTAGTAGAAGTAAAAAAAGAAGCTCACTCAAAACAGAGAAAATAAAAAAAGTAACAAACTTATGGCTGCAAAAGCACTCAGGCAAACATATCAAGTAGCTTTTTCTTCGAAATAACGATTATATTGACATTGAGATCACTTTTTCGTAGTATACTCAATTATAACTGTTACCAGGCAAAGTTTTCGCATTTCTTCGGTGTTTTCATTTAGCAGTGGAACTTTCCAGAGCTTGCGCTAATGACAAATCAGTTTCTGCGTCTCATGTTAAGCTGCAGCTCTAAGATAAAGCCATAGATGGCGCAACTGCCTTACGCGTGGATGAAGTGGTGCATGAGCTGTGTTTCAATTACTAGACAGCATCGTAGACAGTGTACGCTGACAGCTTAAAGAGGCTCTGCAACAGTTTTTGAGCATGGTCAGAAAACGCTCCCGATCGGTAGTAGAGGCTACCGACAACACGCGAGCCAAATATTATAGCACAACACGTGGCGTGGAATTCACATATAATTATCAAAGCCAGCTAAAAATTGCTTTCTCTTCTTTCGACAAATAACACATTATGACCCAAAATCACACGTCAATTACCCACCTA